GGAGGCCTCAGTCACCGAGGGCAAGTCACTTAAAGTCACTGAGCCTTGGTTTCCTCCTCTCATGACTGTGACTAACACCGCCCAGGGCACCCCGGTCCCCTGCTGGATTCGCTGTGCCAGCGCCCAGCTCAGCTCACCCCTCATGAGTGGTGGTGCCTGCTGCCCTTACTCACTGGGTGCAGAGAAGAGGAGCAGGTTGGAGGTTAGATAACCGGGGGTTGGCAGGGTCTGATCGCTGCCTGGACATGGCCTTCTGGTCCTGACCTTGTGGCAAGGTCAGTCGGGGGCCCAACCTCCAGAGCAGCCCCTGCTTGTGGGCTACTCTCCCAGAACACACCGCCGACGTGGATGCTTGTGTGTGTGTGTGTGTGTGTGTGTCTGTGCGTGTGTAAAGGCAAGAGGAAGCCACAGAAAACAGGCCTGGGAAGCTCGGCCTTGCGCTGACTTCCATCTGACAAAAGAGGGGCCCCATCGTCCTTTGGGCTAAGAAGGTCCTGGTTTTAGTCCTGGCTCAGCCGGGAGTTACTCCTGAGCCCCAAGAACCACAGCCTGTCTCTGAGACTTGGTTTCTCCGTCTCTGAAATGTGGTTGCATGGATGGTGCCGTCCGTTCCAGCTCAGTTCTTTGGCAATCGGAGCTCATCAGTGCCTCCCCCTGGGTACAGGGAGACCGTGGGAGGGACCTGCTCAGACTGACACTCTATGGCCCTTGGCAGAACTCCGCCCACCCTCAGCACCCAACTGGGGAGGATGCCGGGAAGCATGAACACCATCCCCCTCCCTAACCCGTCCACGATGGACCCCCTAACGCCTCTCCCTTGTTTCTTTCATCTCCAGGCTCCCACCAGCGGAGCAGGACTAAACCTCCCAGGCTCAGTTAGCCGGATGGTCCCCATTAGCTGGGCAGGCTGTCCCCACTGTGCCTCCCTAGTGACTCCCACAGACAAGGGAGCCGCCTCTGGGTGGGGGGTGGGGGGGCCCTGGCCCGAGAGCAGGCATGGTGCCTCCGGGGAAGAAGCCGGCCGGAGAGGCCTCCAACTCCAACAAGAAGTGTAAGCGCTACTTCAACGAGCACTGGAAGGAGGAGTTCCCCTGGCTGGACTTCGACTACGAGCGCAAGCTGATGTTTTGCCTCGAGTGCCGCCACGCCCTGGTGCGCAACAAGCATGGCAAAGCCGAGAACGCCTTCACCGTGGGCACCGACAACTTCCAGCGCCACGCCCTGCTGCGCCACGTGACCTCGGGAGCCCACCGCCAGGCCCTGGCTGTCAACCAGGGCCAGCCCGCTCTGGAGGGCCAGGCTGGGGGAGGGGGCGCCTACTCCGGCCTGGCACCCACGCCCACCCCCAGGGGCGTCAAGGCGGAGGTGGACCCAGCCAAGGTGGCTGTGCTGACCACGGTGTACTGTATGGCCAAGGAGGACCTGCCGGATGACCGCTGCTCTGCCCTGCTCGAGCTGCAGAAGTTCAACCTGTGCCAGGCGCTGCTGGGTGTGGAGCGTGGTGACTACTACAGCCCCAGGAGGGTGAGGGACATGCAGGTGGGTGGCAGCCAGGGATACGGGGAGGCTTTGAGGAGGGAGGACACTGAGCCATCTAGGAATAGCCCCCAGTATGCCAGGTTCCCCCTCCCCCGCCGGCAACAGGCAGAGCACTGCCTTCACTGCTCACACTTCAGAACCTCCACTGAGGGCCTGCTGTGTGCCTGGCGCTGGGCCACCTGCGGAGTACGCGACAGCGAAGCGGCCAGGCCCGGCCCAGCCCTGGGAGGTGCGAGTGAGGTCCCCAGGCTCTTGGGCCAGGATGGGGTACAGCTGAGACTTGCCCACTCTTCCCCATTGCCTTTGAGTTATTCCTGGGCCACTTCAGGCACAGTGTCACTCCCGTGGCCCCTGTAGGCATGCAAGCTGCAGCTCTGTCCTAGGAATAGCTGTGTGCGTCTCTCGGGTAAGGTGGAGGTGGGAGAGCTGGGTCCCCTCCCACAGAGAGCTGGGAGCTGTGTAACTGGGCAGGAGCTGGGAATGAGCAATCTATCAGTTACTTCCTGAGCAGAGACCTCACCCCCAGGAACAAGGCGCTGGGGAGTTGCCTTGGAGGGTCCTTGATGGTTCAAAAAGTGCTCTCACACCTCCCAGCACAACACAAATTCACCCATAATTCACAGGAGCCCTTGCAGAAGACTGAGGGCGGGGCTTAGCAGGAGCTGGGAGCACTGAAACTCACAGGGGTGACGGGACTTGGGGGAGGCAGCACAGCCAGGGCACAGCCAGGCCTGGATTAGTCTGTGCCTGCCCCGCCTGCCCCTCCTGCCCTGCCTGACTCTGTCCTCCCTCCCTCCCTCTCTCTCCCTGGCTATCAGGCAGCCATCGCCGGGGTCCTGCACACAGAGGCCTGCCAGCGCCTGAAGGCATCCCCGTACGTGGGACTGGTGTTGGACGAGACCAGGGACTGGCCCGAGTCCCACAGCCTGGCTCTGTTTGCTACTTCGGTGTCCCCCTGCGATGGCCAGCCTGCCACCACCTTCCTGGGCAGTGTGGAGCTACAGGAGGGCGAGGTCACTGCCGGCCAACTCCTAGACATCCTGCAGGCCTTCGGTGTCTCCGCACCCAAGCTGGCCTGGCTCGGCTCGAGCCTGCCAAGTGACCGCCTGCGGAGTGTGGGCCAGCAGCTCCGGGCCGCCTGCCCACTGCTCACAGAGCTGCACTGCCTCCCTGGCCGGACGGATCCCGAGCCCCCTGCCTACCTGGGTGAATACGAGAGCATACTGGATGCCCTGTTCCGTCTCCACGGTGGGCCCAGTTCCCACGTGGTCCCCGAGCTGCGGGCTGCGCTGGACCTTGCAGCCATTGACTGGGCAGGGCCGCGGCCGGTACCCTGGGCATCCCTGCTGCCCGTTGTGGAAGCAGTGGCCGAGATCTGGCCTTGCCTTGTATCCACCCTGGAGGCAGCGGCCCCAGCCTCCCCCACAGCTGGGGCCCTGGCCCTAGCCCTGCGCCAGTTCACCTTCGTAGCCTTCACCCACCTGCTGCTGGACGCTTTGCCCTCCGTGCAGAAACTCGCCTTTGTCCTGCAGCCGGAGGAGCCGGACTTGGCCTTGCTGAAGCCTCTGGTGATGGCTGCCGCTGCCTCCCTCCAAGCTCAGCGGGGCTCGGGTGGGGCCCGCCTCCAGGGCTTCCTGCGAGAACTGGCAGCCTCCGACCCAGAGGGGGGCAGCGGGCGCTGCACCTACCGCGGCGTGGAGTTGGTCGGCTACTCCGAGGCTGCGGTGCGAGGCTTGGAGCGGCTCCGGGGGGCTCTCCTGGACTCCATGCGGAGGGGCCTGTGGGACTCCTACCCCGAGCCCTCGCTGGAGGCTGTGGCCGCCTTCGCGACGATCTTTGACTCCCGCCGCTACCCACAGGCTCCAGAGGAGCTGGGCTCGCATGGCGAGGGGGCGTTGCGGGTGCTGCTGCGGGGCTTCGCGCCGGCCGTGGTCCGCCAGCGGGCGCTGGGCGACTTCGCGCTCTTCAAGCGCGTGGTGTTCGGCCTGGGGCGGCTCAGCCCGCGCGCCCTGTGCGCCAGGCTGGCGTGCGCGCACTCGGAGCTGCACGAGCTCTTCCCCGACTTTGCCGCCCTGGCCGCCCTGGCCCTGGCGTTGCCCGCGGGAGCCGGCCTCTTGGACAAGGTGGGCCGCAGCCGGGAGCTGCGGTGGTGGGGACAGAGCGGGGCAGGGGAAGGCCGCGGCGGCCACGTTGTGAAGATCGCTGTGGATGGGCCGCCGCTGCAGGACTTTGACTTCGCGCTGGCTGTGGAGTTCTTAGAAAGTGGCTGGGGGGAGGGGCTCCTGGGGCCGCAGCCCTCCTGAGTGTGGCCTCCACCCCCCGCCCTGGACCAGCCTCCCGGGGTCTCTGGGCACTCCCAAGAGCAGAGCCAGACTTGACCGTGCCTCACCTCAGCTGACGGCTAACTGTGCCCCCTTCCCAGGGGTCCTGAGACACCTTCCCGGTCTAGAGCAAGTGGGGAGACGCTAGGGCTCCCTAAACCCTTCCCATCCTTTCCCCTTCTGAACTGGGCTGGTTCTGGTCCTAAAACGTGGAGGGGGAGTAGAGGGGGCTCTTAGTTAGGTCTTGGGGGACTGAGGCGCTGTGGGAAATGAGAATGAGCCCTCGACTCTTGGCCCACTCCTGGCTGCACCCCCTCTGCGCCCCAGCTCATGGAACCAAGGAGGTAGTGGGGCCCCCTCCCTTCTCCACCTGCTTGGGGGGGCTTTTCTCTATCTGACCGTACATGTTGACATAAAAATCTATCAGTGTGAACCCATCTGTCCCGTTGTCCATAGTATGAACACAAAATCAAAACGGACTGGATTGAGTTCTCATTTTCTTTGTTTTCAAAATCGGCTTGCTCTTCAAGTTCCCAGCCCTCCCCCTGCTGCTGCCTGGGACCCTTAAGACCAAAGACTGCAGAAGCACGGTGTGGTGCCCTGCTGCCCCTGCACGCCTGGCCTGCGGTCACTTGTCCTTCATAAGGGAAGCATCTGGGGCCTGACCTGAGCCTTGGTTCTTGTCCTCCAGCCTCCCAGGGGTTGCTCATCTCCTCCTGTGCCCAGAAGGGTGCGGGATCTGGAAGGCGGGACTAGATAGTGAGGGGGAAGGGGCTGGCCTTTGCACAAGCCCCCTGAGTGGGTTTAATTTACAATAAAGCAGAAACCCAGTGCATGGCACCATCTCCATGGTGGTGTGTACCTCAGGGGCCAACCTGACTCCTGCCCCTCCTGCCCTGGACTCTCCCAGGGGGTTTCATTTGGCCACTGTGTAGCCTTTGCTTCTCCAACTCTGGGGAAGCAGAGCCCAGCAGTGGGGGCTGCCGTCGCCCTGGGCTCAGCTGCCGTGACTGTAAAGAGAGAGACGAGTTTCTGCTCTGGTTCTGCACCCAGGCAGCCCGTCTGGCTCTCGTGCTGGCTGTAGAGGTAGGAGAGAGCCCTGTGGCTCCCCAGTTCAGACCTGCCTTCTTCCTTCTGCAGCAGGCCCGGCCTCCAGCGCCCCCAGCCCCCTTCTGGGCTCCCTGCCCCTGCCCACGCGGCCTCTGCAGCCCCCGCTGGACCTCAAGCACTTGCTCGCCTTCCACTTCAATGGCGCCGCCCCGCTCAGTCTCTTCCCCAACTTCAGCACGGTACGGGCTGCGCTGGCGGTGGGGCGGGTGGGGACGGTGGGCTCAGAGTGGCCAGCTCGGCAGCTGTATCCAGCCATCATCCCCCGCGGTGACTGGGGGCTTCCCAAATGAGGACCCGTGGGCCTGGCTCTCTCCTAGACTGGGGAACAGGATGGAGTCACTCCCTCGCCACCCCCACCTTCATCACTGCTGGGCCTCCAGGGTCTGCCGAGTACAGACGTCACTTGAGTGTGTGTACAGGGACTTCTGGGTCAGTCATGTGTGCCTTTCTGTTGTACTTCATGTAGCTCCTTGGTGTCATGTGTGGATGTGTGTGTGTGTGTGCGCATGCGTGTGCATGTGCGTGAGTGCCTGGCGGATCATTGTGTCGTTAATGGGAGTGCCTTCATATGTGCAGGGTTCTTTTTTTTTTTTTAATTGAAAGGCAGAGTTAGAGGCAGACAGATCTTCCATCTGCTGGCTCACTCTCCAATGGCCACAACAGCCGGAGCTGGGCTGATCAGGAGCCAGGAGTTTCTTCTGGGTCTCCCATGCAGGCGCAGGGCCCAAGCACTTGGACCATCTTCCACTGCTTCCCAGGTCATCGGCAGGGAGCTGGATCGGAAGTGGAGCAGCCGGGTCTCAAGCCGGCACCCATCTAGGATACCAGTGCTGCAGGCAGCGGCTTTACCCGCTATTCCACAGCGCTGCCCTCCCCCAGGGGTTCTTCTGTCTGTGGCTTCTGTAGCTGTGTTTGGTGTGTGCTTGTGTGGTTTGAGTGACTGAGTTCATCTATGGTCACGTGTCTCCTGGTGGTCTGTAACTTTGTGACGGCTGTTAGCTCCTGTGCCATGTGTCCATCCGTTTCACGTGTGGGTGACAAGTGTTGCAACTTGGAATTTTCCTCCGCCAAGTGAAGTATAAGGAAACCCCCCTCCACAGACAAGCCCCTCCCATCTGGATAAGACAGCAACCAATTCTCTCTGGGGCAGGAACCCCTTCCAGCACCCGCTCCGGGAGGCGCACAGAGGCCCTAGGGAGTCTGGGACATGTGGGGAGGGTCCTCTGCCCGTCCTTGTTCTGGGGCAAGGTCTCTCGAGGGCCGCTGAGACCGCTGCCATCCTAGTTGCTGGGCTGTGCCCCCCTGCGCTGCTGTCCCCTGAAAGTCTGGAGCCCCGAGTCCTGGGAGGTCAGCGCCTGTTTCTGTTCTCAGGGAAGTTCTGCACCCAGGCCCTTCTCTCTCCCCTGGGAAGGTCTGGGAAGTTCCTCTTGACAGGTTCAAATTCTTGCCCCTGAGAAAAGGGAACCTAAGGGCTTGGTCTGATCGAAGAAAAAAAATTACTTACAATGCTGGGAGAAAGAACCCCACTCAAGCGAATGTTCCAGAGAAACAGTGCTGCCACTTGGAGGACCCTCAGGCCACCCCTCGCTGCCCCTGGCCAGGGCTCTCGCTGCCAGGCTGCAGGCCCTGCACCAGTGGCACAGCTGACAGGACAGGCTTCTCCTCCCAGCCCCCAGCGCCGGGCACCAAGGCTGGGTTACAGGAGTGAAGGGTTCTTTGTCCCTCCCTGCCTCCTTCCCTTGCCCAACTCCCATCCTGATGGTTTGATGCTTGCAAAGGAGAAAAATAAAACAGAGACTAGAGGGGCAGCAAGAGATGCCCAGGTGTCCAGCAGGACAGGATTCTATTTCTTGAAAGCATGCGGGTTGCCCTGGCCATCCCCCTGCCAGCATCCAGTGCTGGCCAGGGAGAGGCTGTCTCGTCTCTGTGAGGAGCAGGTGCAGGGCGGGGAAGTTTCCCGGAGGGGCTGCCCCTCTGCCCTCCTCGGTACTCTGCACTTTTGGCCTTTTGTACTGCTGCCCGCCGCCACTTCTGAGTTGACTCAGAATTATCGTGTCCTCCACTCCCCTCGCAGATGGACCCGGTCCAGAAAGCTGTCATCAGCCACACGTTTGGGGTCCCCTCCCCTCTGAAGAAGAAGCTCTTCATTTCCTGTAACATCTGTCACCTGAGGTTCAACTCAGCGGTGAGAGGGAGGAGTGGACGCAGGTGTGGGAGGGCTGGCAGGGAGAGGGCTGGAGCCCGGGTCTTGGCAGGAGAGGCCTGGGGGACGTCCCTGGTTGCAGAACAGGTGCTCCTGGTGCTGTCATCGTCCCTACCTCTCCTCTCTCCGGATCCCTCACCCCCTTACAGCCCACTGGGATTTCATCTCACTCTTCTCTGCATCTCTATGTTCTGGGTCCTTCTGCAAGAGAGCAGACTGCCCTTCCCCTCCCTAGGCCCCGGGGTGACCCCTGTTTCTTTGAGCCCCTGAGAAGTCACAGAATGTGCTTATGGCTCTCATCCCAGGCGTCCTCTTGAGACATCCAGGTGACAGGTAAAGGCACTGGTATCGCCCCCACTTTCCAGATGAGCCACGAGACTCAGAGAGGTTAGGTGATTTGCCTGGTAAGTTGCCAGGCTGGGATTTGAACCCAGGTCTGTCTGATCCCAAGGCCTGCAGACTTTGAACCACAGCCCACCCCAACCCAGGTAGAGGAGGCACTTTATCCGGGCAACTCTGGGCTTCGAACTAGATACCGCCACGGCTGCTGTGGTTGAAGGGACCATGGAGGCCTGGGGCAGGGGGGCTGGGGAGCGACAGGTAGAGACCCTTGGTTGACAGAGGACAGCGACAGGAGTCCTGCAGGAGATGGACAGGGAGACCTCACCTGAGGGAGTGGCCACGTCCTTGGCAGGCTGGACACAGGGCCTGGCAGACAGCAAAGGTTCACTTATTGAAAAACATCAACAGAGGGATGAATGTGTTAGTGTGTATACCCCAGAGTATCAGGCCTTCTCTGCTGTCGTGTGTGCATTTATCCATTCGATAACGAGCATCCATTGAGTACCTGCTGCACAAGCAAAACCCCTATAATTCACATTCCCGTTGAATTCTGACAATGCTGAGAGGTCAGGATGATCATCACAAAGCTTCTGAATGAGGAAACCCTGGCTCAGGTGGACTGACTTGCCCCAAAATGCACAGCGAGTGGCTGAGCCAGACTTCAAAAGCAGAGGCTGGTTGCGTGGGAGTCCATGTGTGAGCCAACCTTCTGGGAACTTCAGCGCCACACATTTGCAGTGACGATGGTGGCGATGAAACGAATTTGCCCCTTGTGTGGTCCGAGCCCTGCCTCCCTTGGACCCTGCCCCTGCTCGGTTCCCATTCAAGGACAGAGCAGGTGGACTCAGCCAATGCTTGGTGACCCCATGCTTTCCGCTCCCCAGAACCAGGCAGAGGCTCATTATAAAGGCCACAAACATGCCAGGAAGCTCAAGGCCGTGGAAGCTGCCAAGAACAAGCAGAGGCCACCAACCCCGGCCCAGGATGGGGCGGCTGCGGCGTCCCCAACCCCAACTCCGGCCAGTGGAGCCCCCAGAGAGCCACAGAGCAAAGGTCAGTCCTGAACGCTTGTTCCCCGCCCCCTGCCAAGTCTGGTTCCCAACCAGGAGTTGAGAACCTTCTGCGGGTTTTCTGGGCTCGTGCAGTCAGCATCTTGCCCGTGTACTGCTCAGCGGGCTGCCCCAGTCCTAACACACTCGGATCGGGAACTGTGTCACCGGTACCATGAAGCTGGTCCTGGGGTCACCTCCCAGTCGTTTCCTTGCTGTGTTCACTTCTGCATGTTGGAAAACAACACACGTGTTTCCACGCCGTTCTGGAGCTGGAAAGCCCAGAGTCGAGGTGTGGGCGGGGCTGGTTCCTCCTCACGGGCTCAAAGTGCACCTCTGGCAGCCGTGCTGCTCTGGGCGGGGCCCAGCGTCCTCAGCATTCCTTGGCTTACACACAAGGCCTCCAATCCCGGCCCCAGTCCCCTGCGCGTCTGTGCCTCCGTGTGACCTTCTCATCAGCACGCCAGTCACTGGATCAGTCCTGCCCTAATCCAGCATGCCCTCATTGGCACTCATATTTCCAAAGAAAGTCATGTTCTGCAGTCCCAGGTAGACTTGGAGAGAAACTGGTCAACCGGCCGTACCCCCATCCCCAGGTTAACTGTGACCTGGGTTTTTCTCACCACCAGTGCATTCCACTTGGTTTTGTTGAATCCTAGTGTTTGTTGGTTTCTGTGTCTGGCTTTTGTTCATCTCATGAATGTTCACCAGCATTCATAACACCTGTAAGGTTCATTCACACTGGGTGTATTGTAGTCGCTGGTCCTTTTTCGTTGCTGTGCAGTATTCTGTTTGTGATCACAGCGCTATTCCTTTTAAATCTAAATCTCTTATTGATGGATCTTTGGAGTTTTAATTTTATGCTGTTATGAATAGTGGTTTCTGAACATTCTAGAATATCTTTTAGGTGATTGCTGCTTGGCAATTTTAGCAAATAATTAGGCAGTCAGGGATGTGGGGGCTGAGACTACTCTGTTCAAGTTTATGGTTTTAGACAGGGAAACTGAGGCCCAGGAGGCCTGAGTCTGCCTAGGGAGGGGGGAACACGGCCTTGGTCATGCCTGCACCAGGGACCCTTTGGCCCTACGCCGTCCCCTCCGTTGGCAGTGCTTAGTATCCTGGGTTCCAGAATCATCTTGGGCCTCCCCCCTCACCGATGCCTCCCATCTCCGCAGCAGCTCCTGCAACCCCTCCTCTTGGCCCTCCACTCCAGCTACCGTCGACCCCGGACCCCACATCAGGAGAGCCAGCCCACTCAGACCTCTTGGATGCCGCCTCCTCTTCCTCTTCTTCCTCCTGCCCACCCTGTTCCCCAGAACCTGGGAGAGAGGCGCTAGGCCCCGAGCCGACAGCGGCGGCCGTGGGAAGCGGCGTGAGTGGGGACGGCAGGGGTGAGAAGGAGCGTCTCTACTGCCCCACGTGTAAGGTCACGGTGAATTCAGCCTCCCAGCTTCAGGCTCACAACACAGGTCAGTGCCCCCTCCCTCGGAGCTGGAGTCTGGGGCAGGAGAGGGGCAGGGAGACGGAGCTGCTACAGCTGTGGGCAGGCTTGAGCTCCCGGCCACTTTGCTGGGGGCTGGTGGCAGAGGCGATGTGCTTAGCTGTTCCCGCGCAGGCGCTCTGGGTCCTCCCACTAATCCCCGGCAGGGCAGGGGACAACTGGGCAGAGGAGTCTGAGGCAGCAAGGACTGGGTGTCCCCTGATCTCTGCGCGGTCACTCTGCCTCCCCCGTCTCTCCCGGGTCAGAACCAGAAGGAGTGGACCAGATTAGAGCAGGAGGGAAGGCGCCCAGTGCCCAGCAAGGCCTTGCTTGGGGGAGACTTGGGGGGGGGGAGTCTCGCGTGGCTGGAGGGCAGCGTGTGTGCAGGGAAACCTCGGGGCTTAAAAGGGACAAACAGCCCTAGTTGCCGGTGCTGGGGGATCTCCCCAGCCCTTGAAGCCCCTCTTGGGAGCTTATGAGGTCTTTTCCCTTCCCTCCAGGAGCCAAGCACCGGTGGATGGTGGAAGGTCAGCGTGGGGCTCCCCGGAGGGGCCGGGGCCGCCCGGTACCCCGGGGAGGGCCCGGACACAAGGCCAAGAGAGTGACAGGGGGCCGGAATGGCCGGCAGGGACCCACTCCCCCGTTTCACTGTGCTCTCTGCCAGCTCCAGGTCAATTCAGAGACCCAGCTCAAGCAGGTGGGAGAAGTAGGGCGGGGCCTGAGGATGCAGGGGGCAGGCAAGACAGGGTGAGGAGTGGGGTGGGTGGGGCAGACAGGGAGGGGCCGGCGGGAGAGCAGTGAGGCCGGCTGGACAGTCTCCTCCCTTCCCAGGGCCAACCCCAGGGGTGAGTACCCAGTAGGTGTGCATTAAATCTAAGAGCTGTGGGTAGAGGAAGGCTGATATAATCGAGGGTGATGGTTCTGGGGCCCTTGGGCCTCCTCATTTTGGCCCATCTGTCTGTCCATTAGCACATGAGCAGCAGGAGGCACAAAGACCGCCTGGCCGGGAAGCCCCCCAAGCCCTCCAGCCAGCCCAGCAAGCTGCAGAAGCACGCAGCTCTGGCTATGAGCATCCTCAAGGTATCTGTCTATCCGCAGCACAGCTGGGGCCTGGTTCCAGGGGACAGGGGCGGGGGCAGGAAGCCCACCCAACAGCCCGGCGGAGGGGAAGAGCTGGGTTCAGGTTTTTGTTTTGGGATCTGCCCAGAGGAATTTCCGGGGAGGTGGGCTGGGGTGGTAATCTTGGGTCGAAAGCAAGGGGTGGGCGTCTGGCTCCTAGAGACCATCTCTACCCCACCCCCACCTCCCCCACCCCGGAGGCAGGAAGACAGGTGCTGGAGAAAGCCCAGTGGAATGACTGGGGTGGGGAGGGAGGGGATTTAGGCTTGGAAGTCTAAAAGGCACGTTTTTCCTGCAGCAAGAACCCTAGTTTGGGGCCCAGCGAGGGGGGTGGGTTTTCCTGGGGTCTGGGACTCTGAACATTCCTCTTTTCTTTGTAGTCCAAACTGGCCTTGCAGAAGCAACTGACCAAGACGCTGGCGGCCCGCTTCCTGCCCAGCCCGCTGCCTGCCACGGCCATCTGCGCACTGCCCGGGCCGCTAGCCCTCCGCCCTGCCCCCAACGCCGCCACCGCCGCCGCTGCTGCCACCCTCTTCCCAGCCCCCATCCTGGGCCCGGCTCTTTTTCGCACCCCAGCGGGAACCGTCCGCCCTGCCACAGGACCCATAGTCTTTGCTCCCTATTAGCCTCCTGGGGAAGCCAGGGCTGATCCCCAGCAGCTCTCCCCATCCCCAGGCACCTGGGCGCCCTCCCTCACACAGGGGCTGCCTTTTTCCCTGTAGGGATTCCTGCCTGACCTAGCCAAGGACTGGGCAGGCTCTAGCGGCAGCTGCCCTCCACTGCCTGGACTGGGGATTCAACTGGTGCCCCCTTGGTCCAAGGACTGTCCCCAGCCTCCTTTCCCAGGCCTGTGGCCAGCCCTGGATTCCCCTGCACTTTCCAGCCTGCTAACCCCAAAGATCTATGCAAAACTCCCAGTCCTAGCCAAGTGGTGCTGTTGTTCCCCGTAACTGAAGCCCATGCCATGGCCAGCCTCTAGGCACCCAGCCTCTAGGCGCCAGCGTCTCTTAAGCCCGTCTGTGCCCGGGCCTCGCTGGATTCTCTGCAGAATCACTGGACACAAGGGATGGGGCCTCCAGCTGGAGTGGATTCAAAGCTGTCAGGAGGAGGGTGTGGCAGAGGGCGGAGGAGAAAGGGGGATCTTGCAATGCACTTGTGGGAGGATAGCGCCGAGAGGGCTGAGGAACTGGGCTGAAAGCTTTGGGGACCTCATCTGCTCCAGTGGGGTGGGGTGGGGTTAGGAAACAGGTAGGTGAGGGAGATGTTCTGGCTGGGCCCAGGTTTTTTTCTTTTTCTTTTTCTTTTTTTTTTAAGATTTATTTATTTGAAAGGCACAGAGTTTGGGAGCTAAAGAGAGAAAGAGACAGAGACTTTCCAACCACTGGTTCACTCCCCAAATGGCCACAAAGGCCAGGGCTGCGCCAGGAGCCCAGCACTTCACCTGGGTCTCTCACATAGATGGCAGGGGCCACCTTCTGTTGCTTTTCCAGGGGCATTAACAGGGAGCTGGATCAGAAGTGGAGCAGCAGACTTGAACCGTTGCCCATGTAGGCGGCGGGTCAAGCCTCACTTAACCCACTGTACCTCAACGACAGCCCCCTGGGCCGTTTTAATGGAGAAGCTCCCCCCTCTGCAGTCTTTCAAGTCCTCTCCAGTCCCTCAGGCTAAGGACCCTGCTAACACCAGACCCCCAGGGTCCCCAGAGCAAGCGCGTGCCCCTACAGCTTGCACCCCAAACATCCCCAGCACTCGACCCGGCTTCCCTGCTCCCAGCCAGCCCCGTCACGTGGTGTTGGGGTTCAGCCTGACGCATGCTCCCAAGAGCACTCCTAGGCCGTCAAAGTCGGTGTCATAAGCTCCAGGCCCGAACCCTGCCCTCTGCAGCCCACAGTGTCCGCCCGCGTCTTTTGTGCAAGGACATTTCCAATGGGGGAACGAGAAAGGGGGGAGGGGAGGAACCCTTTTTGATAACAGCAGTGTGGTTTTATTGTGTCCAGTGCATCAATAAACGAACTGTAAGCCCAGCCCATGGACGCCCCGCTCCTCCTCGCCCTGCGCGGGCACCTGTTCCTGCTCACCTCCTCTGGCCTGGAGGCTGCTGGGCTGCAGCGCTCCCAGGTGGGCAGGTGTGCACAGTAGGAGAACGGAGCTGGGGGGTCACGGCCCACTTGGTGGCGTGTGTGACACTGTCCGAGCCCGGCCACTCCAGAGAAGCAGCTGCTGGCTGGCCCTGTCCTGTTCAGGGGTGTGAGGTAAGGCAGGCAAGAGGAGCACCTTCTCCCGCCTTCAGCACGGCCGCAGGCATATAAATACAGGTAACTTAAATAGAAGTTCCGCTCTTGGCTGAAAACCACCCCAGGGAGGGGCCAAGGCCAGCCCCTCTGGCAGCGGAGTACACTCCTGCCCCCTGGTGGCCGGAGGGAGTGATGGGCCCCAGCCTCCAGGGCTGGCAGGCTTAGCACCTTCAGGAGGAAGCAAGGGGAGCGGTCCCAGGAGGCCAGAGGCCTCGGCTTTAGAAGAGGAGTGAGGAGACCGGCAACTCCCGTCACCTTCCGCTGGGACAGCAGGCCCAGAGAGGGGACGGGCCTTGCTGGGCCACAGGGCAGCTTGTGACTCAGCCCAGCGGTCACTCCACTCCACCCCAACCAATGAGGCCCATCTGCTGCCTGAGCAGGAAGGGGAAGTGAAACACTGGGGTGGGGAGTTCAGACAGAAAATTGCCCTTGGCTTCTTCCAGGCAAAGAAAGGCCAGGGAAAAGGTCAGGGTGAGGGATGTGGAGACACCCCTAACTCCAGCACACACATGCGTGTGCGTGCGCGCGCACACACACGCACACGCGGCACCGGGCCACCCTCTAAGTGCGTGGATCACAGGCAGGAAGCTCGGCAGTGCAGTAGGAACCAGACCCTGCACGGGGCCCTTCTTCATGGCAGCTTTGCTTCCTGTCCAGCGCAGATGGGAGGACACTGACCCACAACTGCCCCCAGGACGGAAGAGCCCACATGGTGACAGCCGGGAGGGGAAGTGCCGAGGGGGAGGGGCACTAACCGAGACTCGTGCATCTCCCGGAGCCTCTCCTGCAGCCAGGAGGCAGTGACGCCGCTGCCTGGCCGAGGGCAGAGCGCCCCCTGCTGACCGGCAAGGCCGGCTTGCTGCCCACCCCACCACCGCTGCGAGTCCCAGGAGCTGGATGGGGTCGGGAGGGGGTGGGGGGGCAGCTCTTCAGCCGTCCAAGGAGCCGCTGCCCTTGTTCTTGCGGCTGAGGGGGAAGGCAGACTTGCTCTGGGGCTGGGTCATCTTGCTGGCCAGGTAGACGAAGGGCTCGAGGAGGGAGCGGCGGTCGGCCACCGACACCTCCCATAGCTTCACCTTCTCCGACTTGGCCCAGTGCTGAGCCACGTCTGGGTCCACGCGCCGCTGCTCCTGGAGGTCACACTTGTTGCCCAGGACCACGATGGTGACCTGGGGGAGACAGACAGGGCAGAGGCCCGTGAGTACACCGTGGGCCTCGGGGACAGGTGTGGGGACTGTTGTCTGTGGCTGAACAACAGGCGAGGAAGCACCCTGGAGGCCTGCAGCGTGGAGGGGGATTTGAGAGCACAGAAGGGCCTTCGCGGCTAAGAGCCCGGAACCTTCTAGCACAGCCTGGCGGTAGCTTCACACCCCCAGGGTCAGAGGTCCCTTCACTGAGAAGGGACCTCTGGGTTGAGCCGCGGCGACATCTGGCTGTCATTGGAGGTAATGACACCTTGCAGAGGCCTCTAGCCCTGCTGCAGCTCACACACCTCCTGGCAACTAAGCGAAGGAAGAATGGAGCCAAGCCAGGCCTGCCGAGCCAGCCCAGCCCGCACCGGGAACCCGGCCCACACACCTCCTTCTTGTCCTTGGACTTGTCGATCTCCTTCTTGAGCAGCTCCACCCGCTGGAAGGACTCGCGGCTGTCTGTGCTGTAGACCAGGACGTAGCCATCCGTGCAGGAGAAGCAGTGCCGGGGCAGCTCGGCCCCGTCTCGGAGGCCCCGCGTGTCGTAGAAGCGCACCTGCTCCCGCACGCCCCGGTCCGTCTCAATGGAACCCACGTAGATGTCTTCCTGCGTCTCGATCATCTCAGAGCCTGGGACAGAATGAGAGATCGTGCTGGAGGTGGGAGGGGGGCGGGCCGCGGCCAGGGAACGGAGCGCCTGGCAGGGCTGGGTGGTCTCGGGGAATGGGCAGTCATGCCCAGCCTCCCTAGCTGTTCTGTTGTTGGACTGGGGGTTTCACTGTGCAAGGTATAAAAACCGCTCTGAGCCTTCGTGTGCTCTGCTCCCTGCTCCTTATTCTCCGGCGTCTTCCACCACACCCGTGTCTGCTAACGCCACTCACCCACCACATGGTTCCCGTACAGCAGCTGCTCCAGGATGGAGGTCTTGCCCACAGACGCCTGGCCGCACACGACCACCTTGCAGCTCTTCCCCATGCTCGGCTTTCAGCCCTGCGGTTTGCAGAACCCTGGGTGAGGTGAGGGAAGGGAAGTTCAGAACCCAGGGCAGACCTCCCATGTCTGGGAGTCGGAGCTGCAATGAGTGGCCTCAGGGGCTTGGCACCACCCCACCGCAGCCAGGGCCCGGCGCGCTGATGCACCTGCGTGCACTACTAGCCAGTAAGCGGCATGGATGCCTCTGTTATTCTCGGTGCATAACCGGCACCGGGCCAGAGCAGGTGCTCGGCAGCCATGGCCACAAGGGGAGAAGAGAGTCACCGGTCAGGGGAAGCACAGGCAGGGGAGAGGACGGGCCCTGAAGGAGCTCCGCCAGCTTCCTGTCTGCCAGAGACCTGGGAGGAACAGGCTGCAGCACCTGCTCCTTGGGCAGTGAGCAAACACGGAAGCTGACTGGCCTTCCTGTATGACGCACGTGGACAACGCTCAATCCCCTCTAACCTCCAGGGAAGCTCATGGCCAGGATGAGGCACATCAGACAAGACACGGAGCCGGGAAGCACAGGCATTTAGCAGTCATTAAGACACCACTTGGGGGTGTCTTGTGCTACAGCGGGATAGGCCACTGGCTGCAAAGCCAGCATCCCACATGAGCCCCAGTTCAAATCCCAGCTGCTCCACTGCACCCAAAGACAAGTGCTTGGGCCCCTGCCGCCCACGTGGGAGACCTGGATGGAGTCTCAGGCTCCTGGCTTCATCCTGGCCCAGCTCCAGCCATTACAGCCATCTGGGGAGTGAACCACTGGGTGGGAGAGCTCTTTCAAGTAAATAAAATTTTTTTTAAAAATTTATTTTATTTACTTGAAAGAGTTATAAAGAGAGGTAGAGCCAGAGAGAGAGGTCTTCCATCCTCTGGTTCACTACCAAATGGCCACAACAGCCAGGGCTGAGCTGATCCAAAGCCAGAAGCCAGGAGCTTCTTCTGGGTCTCTCACACAGGTGCAGGGGCCCAAGGACTTGGGCCATCCTCCACTGCTTTCCCAGGCCACAGCAGAGAGCTGGATTGGAGCAGGAGCAGCGGGGACTTGAACCCACGCCCATATGGAATGCCCACACTGCAGAACAGGGCTCTAACCCACTGTGCCAGTACTGGCCCCCTCAAATAAATAAAAATCTTAAAAAAAAAATTCAGTAAAAAGAAGCCATCACTTGGGACACCCGCAACTCCTATCTGAGTGCCTGGTTGGAGTCCTGCTTCCACTCCAAATTCTAGCTTCCTGCTAACGCACACGGTGGAAGGCAGGTGATGGCTGAGGTACTCGCGTCCCTGCCACCCACATGGGAGACCTGGATGGAGTCCCAGGCTCCTGTGGGCATTTGGGGAACCAATTAGTGGAGGGGAGATTTCTGTTGAGTCTCCCTACCTTTCAAATAAATAACACATAGTTTTAAAAACAGACATAAGACTGAAGCAATCTACGGAGAAAAGGCTTCGGGAAGGAGATTCACTGTGCTGCCCTGGACTGACCCACCATTCACTGTGCTGCCCTGGACTGACCGACCCAAAGGGAAGGCCCAGACCTAGAGGCCCCGGGAGGACAAGAGCTCTCGGCTCCAAAATGCCCCACCCCCCGACCTCGGAGAGCAAAGATCACTCCCAGACAGGGTCTCAAACAGGATTCTCTGTAGGAGAAGCTCCTGATAAAGACCCCCTTCCCGGCAGATTTCCCTAGGACAGAGGCCAGCACAGGCAGACACCTGCCACCAAGAGCGCCGCGGGGCGGAGGCCAACCCCGGCGTCGGACGACCCCGCCTCCCAGCCCCGTCCCTCCCGGGCCCCCAGCCCCCGCGCGCAGATCCCCGGCCGGGTCCCCGAGAGCGCCCAGAGCCCAGCCGAGGGGCGGCAGCAGGGCCGCAGGCTGTCCCCTCTACCTCGGGGCAAGACGTCCGCTCCGTTGGGCCCCGCCCCCGCAGCTTCCGCCCGGCGAGGCGAGTTCCGGCGGCGGCGAACGGGCGGCGGCCCACAGCGCCCCCGACAGGCCGGCGGGAGGATGGCGGCCAGACAGAGCCTGGCCTGCCTCCGCGCCAGATTCCAAGGTCCTGGGGCTTGTTGGACGCGGGCCGCCGTGTGGCATCTCTGAGGCCCACACGTTCTCGCTCTAAAGGCTGCCACAGCACAGCCAGCGCTCCGACCACTCCTTCGCTCGTCAGGCGTCTCCTGAGCACCTGCGCTGGCCCACGTGCTGGACAGAGCAGACGCGTTTCGCTGTCCAGAGCTAGCCGTCTAAATAAACCAGCAGGCAGAGTGCGGCATGGTGGGTGCTGTCGCAGAGGTGCCACGGGGCACAGCCAAAGGCGTCGGCCGTGAGGACTTTGCGGAGGAGGTCCCGCCCGTGTGGATCCTTGAGGGACCTGGCGGGAGAGGGTGTTGTGGGGCCTCGGAGCCGCAGCCGGAGCCGTGCCATTTCCTTAAGTACAGGTGCTTCGACACTGATCGTGGGAAGAAGCCAAGTCACCGGACGCCTTAGCGGTTGGTGGAAGACTGAACTCAGCAGTGGGAAGCCTTTGGTAGGTTTTATGCCCCTGGACTGACATGGTCTGTTTTTTTCTGTTTCTAAGGAGGCCATTCTGGGAGCAGGTTTAGCCCAGTGGTGAAAAAAGCTAGCATCCCTTATCTGAGTGCCTGGGTTCGAGTCCCGGTCCCAGCTGCTGAGCCCTGCTTCGGGTGCAGACCCTGGGAGGCAGCAGTGATGACTCAAGTAATTAAGCTCCTGCCACCCACGTGGGAGACCCGGATTGAGTTCCCGGCTCCTGGCTTCAGTCACACCTGTTGTGGGCATTGGGCGTGACCCAGCGGATGGGAAGTCTGTCTCTCAAAAATAAATAGAAAAATCCATGAGGATTTGTGAAACACCCAAGAAATACCCAGCAGATGGTTGGGTATCCAGGCCTGGAACCCGGAAGACTGGGGCAGTGATGACAGGAGTTGAGAGTCGTCAACTCAAAGCTGTGGGAACGACTGATTTGGCTCAGAACATAAAGTAGGAAGAGGGTCAAAGACAGGTGGGCTTCTTCTTCTTTTTTTTTTTTTTTTTTTTTAATTTGACAGAGTTAGACAGTGAGAGAGACAGAGAGAAAGGTCTTCCATTTGTTCACCCCCAAATGGATGCCATGGCCCGTGCACTGCGCCAATCCGAGGCCAGGAGCCAGGTGCCACCTCCTGGTCTCCCATGCGGGTGCAGGGCCCAAGCACTTGGGCACTTGGGCCATCCTCCACTGCACTCCCGGGCCACAGCAGAGAGGAGCAATCGGGACTAGAACTCCGGGTGCTGGCGCCTCAGGCGGAGGTTTAGCCTAGTGAGCCGCAGCGCCGGCCAGAGGGGTGGGCTTCTGAACTGGACTGTGGACCGAGCCACCAGGGCAGGTGTGGAGCAGGTCTCGGGGTCCCCAGCGCTGCACAGCGCGGGCATTGAGGAAAGAGCCACTGGATGGTTAGCTAGGTGGACGCCGCTCCCCTCCCAGCCACCGGGCCTCTCCAGCCCCCTCAGCACTGCGGTGGGCAGGATACCACGCCGAAAGGGACTGTGGCGCATGCTGGTTTCCTGGAGGGAGGGGACAGATCCGCCCTAAGTTCCTCTGCCTCTCTCTTATCTTAGGTCCTCTGCGCCTTCAAGTATAGCCTCAGAAAGCCCCCATTTAATGCAGCTCCAACAATGCTCGTATCCCTTGCTCTGCCGTCCCCAGCGCAGACTGCACTGGGCCGGACCGGCGTGCCGAGCAGCGTTTATGAGATGGGGGCATGGGGCCACGGAGACCCCACCCCATGAGCGGCCTTATAAACTCCAGGGCAGGGTCCCGGGCGCCTCGCCATGCCAGCCTCCCTGGGCTTAATGCTGAGATGGCACTCCCAGGCGGCTGACTTGAAAGCGGCCTCATAAAAAGGGCAGCGTCATTAGGCTGATGAACCAGTTGGTGCTTGGAGATCCCGGGGGATGAAAGGCGCGGGGTGCAGACGCCCTGCGTTCCCTGGCTTGGTTGGGCAGGGCTTCCCGGGACCGATGAAAGCTGAGCAGACCGGGCTCGAAGTGTCTCGCCTTTCCCGGGAGGAAGCGGTGGACACACTCCAAGAGTGGGAAGGCAGCAGTGGGAGGTCCTCCCTCCCAGAGTCTGGGTAACCCGGTCCCCACGCACCCCAGTCTCTCTGGAGCCTCCCGGGAGACGCTCTAGGACTGCAGGTTGCTATGGCAACGAGGCTGTCGGACTACTGAGGCACGCCAAAGCCTAGAGAGACGACATCCTCCTTGTAACCCCCCCCTTCCTACAGACGGGTAAAGTGGCGCCCCCTACGCACAGGAACCGTCCCTGGGCTCCCGCCCCGGCGCGGAGACCACCGTGGACCTCCGGGAGCGGGAGGCCGCTCTGGCCCCAAGCGGAGCCTCTCGTTGGTAGACGGGCCCGAGGGAGCCCCTCTGGGTGCAGCGCCGCTGAGCGGCTCGATGCTCCGACCGGAAGTGCTCTTCACCGCCTGCCTCCCACCCGGCTCTCTGGTCCCGGCGGTAAGATGGCGGCTGCCGCGGAGTGCGATGTGGTAATGGCGGCGACCGAGCCAGAGCTGCTGGACGACGAGGAAGCGAAGAGGTAACCGGGTGGCGAGGTCACGGAGGGGGCGAGCCTCGGCCCTGTGGCTCGCGGAAGCCTGTCCCTGCCGGGGTGCAGCCCCCAGCTGTTGAGACAATGCCCCGCCCTCCGCGAGCCCCCCCTGCACCTGGGATCAAGTCCCGGTGGACCCCCTGAAGGGTGCTCCCGGGGTCGGCCTCCCCCCCACCGCTTCCGCCTGGCGGGGGAGCCGAGACGCGGCCTGGATCCTCCACTTAGAGGAGAATAAAGCCCTGATTGTGGCGGCTGGGTGTCTGAGGGGCACCGCGTCGGTCTGAGGGGTGGGGGAGGCGGCGCGGCGTCGGCGACGACTTCCTTACTTCGCCCTCGACCCCTGCCTTCTCGGGCCGGCCCGTGGGCATTGTCTGTCTGCGCTTTGCGTCTCCTCACCCGCTTGCCCCCGGTAATTAGAGCCTGGTGAACACTGGGTCCCAGGCGGACGTGGGAGTGCGGGATTGAGCGGGTCGACCCCTGGTTTCCTCAGAAGGCGGACATGCTAGAGCCAGAAGGAAGGGGGGTGGGGGGCTTGTGTCCCGCGTCAGACCCCTCTTCCCCCACCCTTCCTGGCCGAGGTGCTCACTCAAAGTTCGGCGGCAAGGAGGGGGCCGCTGCCCGGCGCCGTTGGCATTGCTGGGCAGCCGCAGTGGCTGGCAGCTGCCAGCCCCGACTGGCCGGGGAGCTGCTGAGTGAGTGGTTTTCCAGAACACTCGGGATCCCGGCCGCAGCTAAGGCAGCGTGCTGGAAGTGGGGTTGGGACGCAGTTGTGGGCAGTCACACGTGTTCTGACCCTACAGCAGAGTCGACGAAAAAGCTTCTGGAAGCTCGGGGGCCTCTCCTCACCCGCTGCCGGGCGGCCTCCGGGCGCTCAGCCCCTTTCACCGCCCGCCAGGTGCTTTGACGTGGTTTGGGGTTATTTCATGAGATCTGAAATCAGGCTTCTGAGGTTTGTTTCTACCGTCCAGCAAGTGAGAAACGGAGGAGTTACGAGTTCCCGGATCTCGCAGAGCTCAAGCCCGAGAGCAGTCCGCCGGTCGTAGTCCGGTTTCTGACCTGCCGGAAGCCGAAGGGCCTGACAGCGTGCAGTGGCTTCCAGGGGTAGCAGAAAAGGCAGCGAACCTCAGTCCAAAATCTGAGTTTTCGTGGCGCTACCTGCTTTTCTGGTATTTAGCGATACAACAGACCTCTCCCAGCTCTCAAATTAACTGTAAGAAACTGCTTTACTTGTACTTGGAAAGTTTAGTGGTTCTTTGCGTTGTAAATCGGAACTGTGTCCTGGAAAAACCTCATCCTACGCAGGGTGAGTCTCTGGTGTTCGGAGTGTCCCTAATCTGGGTTTTGCTTTAAAGCCGGTCCTTTCCCTTTAAAAGAGCGCAGCCTTGGGAGCAGGCGTCTAGCCCGGCAGTTGAGACACCTGCAGCCCTTCTTGGAGTGCCTGAGTGTGCGCCCAGCCCGGCTCCAGCCCTCAGCTTCCGGCTAGTGCAGACCCTGGGAATCAGGTGGTGATGGTTCGGGAAGGGAGTTCTGCCACCCACGGAGGAGACCTAAATTGAGCTCCTGGTTCCCTGCCAGGAGTGAACGAGCTGATAGGACCTTTCTTCTCTGTGTCTTTATCTCCGCCTCTCAGGAAAAAAAAAAGAAAAAGAAAAATCACAGCCTTAGAGCTTAGAGTATGACCCATTATAGAATTTTGGTAAGCCAAATTGAAGATTATACCTGTACAAAAGAGGTAAAACTGTAGTGTGAATGTGTTGTACAGTTTATGGGGTTTGGTAGCAGTATACCTAAATCAGTGTTGACATCTGTTAAGTGCCTTATTTCATGAATTTAAGATGTCACTGATTGTAAAACGCCCAGCTATTTTATTTGCCGCTAACAAAAATTCAACTGTAAACTATGAAAATGCATTTTTACTATATTTGTATGCTACATTTATTTCTATAGAGCTCTTTTAGATATGATAAAACATGTTTATTGTGTAGCACTTCCAAGCACAAATAAAAAGGAAACTAAGTGAATTAAATAATTCAGTGGCTTTCTGCCACAAACAGCATCTGCAGAAGGGATTTTGTGGGGGCTGGTGCAGTGGTGCTGAGGGTTAAAGCTCTGCCTGCAATGCTGGCGTCCCATATGGGCACTGGTTCGAGTCCCAGCTGTTCTACTTCCAGTCCAGCTCCCTGCTGATTGCCTGGGAAGGCAGTGGAGAATAGCCCAAGTCCTTGGGCCCCTGCACTCACGGGGAAGACCCAGAAGAAGCTCCTGGCTTCGAATGGGCCTGCCTCCTGCTGTTGGGGACATTTGGGGAGTGAACCAACGGATGGAAGATCTCTCTCTATGTCTCTCTCTTTCTCTGTAACTCTGTCTTCCAAATAAATTTTTAAAAATCTTTTTTTTTTTTTTTTTTTAAAGAAGGAGTCTTGTGGTGTGAAAAATCCTTGTCTCAGTTTTCCAGTGCTGGAGATGGGGTGGAGGTTAGCTCTGCAGGGTCTGGGGTCACGGGTTTGGTGTTTCCTGTGGCCACAGCAGAGGCAGGCATGGGAACATCCCTCCCAGAGGCCTTTCCTTCTGGCTTGGTGAGAGTTATTTGACCAAGTTCCTGTCTGTCTTGTTGGGGCCTCCTAAGCAGTTCCCTTGGGGACACGAGAATCGATGGTCCTGAGTCCTTCCTTTCTCCCCTCTGGGCTCGAGTGCATCCTGCTGCTGCCGCTGCGTCCTCACGGCCCCGCAGAAGGCAGTAGAGGAGCTTCCAGCACACTGGGTGTCATTGTCGCCATGTTTTAGATGGCTGCTGTTCTGTTTCCTAGAGAGAAAAGAAATATATTTCAATTTTTTTGCCTGTTATTCTGACTGAAGTTTCGTTTTCCCCATAGGAGCTAAGAAATGAAAGTAAAAGTTAGTTGACACTGCAGAAGAAATCCGGGTTCTTGCATGAAGATTGCTTCTGTTTGCCCACCAGAAGGGATAAAGCTACTTAGGAACCAGAGGGTGAAATTGTAGGGGTTTACATTTCAGCTCACTTCAGTCCTTCCATTCTCCTGGGAGGTTGCTGACCTCTCTCCACCGTGGATAAATGCCTGTCTTGAAGAGGGCTCTCTGGTCATATTTCTTGCACCAGGGAGCCATTTGATCACTACAGGTCGTCTTTATTGTAGAAAGGAGAGATTTCAAGTTAATCAGAGTAAACACTGCTGTGTCTCAGTGTATACTTGCTGTGACGGGACAGTGAGGTCTAAAAGAATCAAGGGACCAGGTGGGTTAAGCCTCTGCTTGGGGCACCTGTATCCTGTCTCAAGAGTCAGTTCAAGGCTCTGCTGCTCTGCGCTTCCCATCCAGCTTCCTGCTGGCGTGCCTGGGAGGCAGTGAATGATGACTTAAATGCTTGGATTTCTGCAGCCCAATATGGGAGACCCTTTGGGGTACCTGGCTCTTTGATTTCAGCCTAGCCTAGCCCTGGCTGTTGCAGTCATTTGAGAGGTGAACCAGTGGAGGTAAGTGAGAGATCTTTGATTTATTTATTTGACAGGCACAGTTATGGGGCCAGTGGGAGGAGGGGGAGTATCTTCTATCTGCTGGTTCACTCATCAAATGGCCACAACAGCCAAGGCTGGGCCAGACGAAACCCGGGAGCCAGGAGCTGCTTCTGGGTCTCCCACATGGGTACAGGGGCCCAAGCACTTGGGACATCTTCTGTTGCTTTCCCAGGTACATTGGCAGGGAGATGGACTGGAAGTGGAGCAGCCGAGACTCAAACTAATGCCTGTGTGGAATGATAGGTGCTTTATCCACTGTGCCACTACAATAGGCTCCAGTAGCATATCTTTCTCTCTCTCTTTTTTTCTCTGTCACTCTGCCTTTCAAATAAATCTTGTTTTAAAAATTATTAGGGGGGGTTGGCCGGCGCCGCGGCTCACTAGGCTAATCCTCCACCTTGCGGTGCCGGCACACGGGGTTCTAGTCCCGGTCAGGGCACTGGATTCTGTCCCGGTTGCCCCTCTTCCAGGCCAGCTCTCTGCTATGGCCCGGGAGTGCAGTGGAGGATGGCCCAGGTCCTTGGGCCCTGCACCCCATGGGAGACCAGGATAAGTACCTGGCTCCTGCTATCGGATCTGCGCGGTGCGCTGGCCGCAGTGCGCCGGCCACAGCGGTCGTTGGAGGGTGAACCAATGGCAAAAGGAAGACCTTTCTCTCTCTCTCTCTCTCTCTCTCTCTCACGGTCCACTCTGCCTGTCAAAAAAAAAAAAAAAAAATTATTAGGGGCCAGCCCTATGGCATAATGGGTAAAGCCGCTGCCTGCAGTGCCAACATCCCATATGGGTGCCGGTTCAGGTCCCGGCTGCTCCTTCCTATCCAGCTCTCTGCTATGGCCTGGGAAAGCAGTAGAAGATGCACCTGTGTGAGAGACCCGGAGGAAGCTCCTGGCTCCTGGCTTCAGATTGGCCCAGCTCTAATCATTGTGGCCATCTGTGGAGGGAACCAGTGTATAGAAGACTCTCTCTCTCTGTCTCTGTCTCTGTCTCTCTCTCTGCCTATGTCTGTGCCTCTCTGTAACTCTGACTTTCAAGTAAAATAAATAAATCTTTAAAAAAGAGAGAAAGAAAATTATTTATTTGAAAGGCAGAATGACAGAGACACAGAGATCTTCTGTTTGCTGGTTCACTCCCAAATGGCCACAGTGTCCAGTGCTGAGCCAGGCTGAAGCTAGGAGCATGGGACTCCATCTGGATCTCATGTGGATGCAAGGGCCCTATGCTTGGGCCAATCATCAGCTGCTTTCCCAGGCACATCAGCAGGAGCTGGATTGGAAGTGGAGCAGCCAGGACTTGATCTGGTGCCCACATGGGCAAAGGCTTAACCTACTGTGCCACAACACAGTAAAAAATCAGGGAGCCTTACCTGATGCTTGAGCCGGTCTTGGCCTTTCTGTATGTGTGAGGCACCCAGGCAAGATCAGTTACTCTTGGGCCCTTTCTCTCTCTCTCTCTCTT